AAAAAGCAGCACTAACTCATTAAATTTTAAGGTGAGTTCACCACTAAACTGTAACTGTTTTAATAAATTCTGACCTCCTAGGAAAAGGCCTAACTTCTTTGATGTGTGTATGTTTGTGTCCCCCGTATCAATGAAAATGACCACAAGATGAAAAGAGAAAACTTGCATTTGTTCAGAAACTTGAAAGATCAAAACACATAAACCCTGGAAGCACCCAATATTATGACCCAAAAGCTATGTTTGATGGCCGTATTTCTGTACACAGATTATTTCATAGATTAACCTGCCACCGTGCAAGGCCAGGGCAGTGGGCAGAGAGAGAATCATTTTTGGAAGACCCTGATTAAGCACTTACTGTCAAAAGCTTTCCCTCTGATCAAACTCTGTGTCATAAAAATAACACATTAGAGGAAGTCATCTCTCCTCCTAGTATGGATGCTGCCATGCAGGTATTATTTAGCTGAGAAAAATCTATGTAGGAAAGAAAAGGAAACAGTGTTACAGGATAAAGCTAGATATTTGGGCCTGATGCAGTCAGGTTTGGGCAAGAGAGCCTCCAATTCGGGATGGCAGATTTTTCTGCACATAATACTGGAGTATTTTGGTAATAGCCAGAGCTTTGGCGACTCCGAAGTTAGAGAGTATCATTACTAAGCCTGGTAAATACTGGGGGTAAGGAGAGGGAGGAAAAGACCGGGACAAGCCGTTGAATAGCTACATAGCTTTAACCCAAAAAATTCAGCAAGGTACATGTTGTGCTTGACTCAAGCATTCCTGAATAGCATTTTTTTTCCAGACCTGTAAGAAACAAAATATCAGGAAATATGATCTATTACTCCTTAAATAAAAATATATTCACCACAAAACTGTTAATGGGACCATATTACACAAAACACAGTCCCATATCTTCAAGAATCCCTAGGGATTTGGTGGTGACCGAGTCAAAAAACAAAGCATGGCTTTTCAGCAGACAAAATGAGGTGAAATGGGGTCTTTGTTAATTTTCCAACAGATCTGCCATTGCTTTGGGTGTTAAACAGTTAATGCTCCTCCTTAGAAGTCTCTATTTTAAGGAGTGAATACTCAAGTATCAGAAGGACACTGAAGACACAACACACATATGTAGTATCACATATGTATCCACAGACATTGTTCCATACCCCAGAAGTATACCTGACCTTTAACAGCAGCACTAATCACTTCTCAGACACTGCAGAAGTTCCCTTTCCAAAATAAAATATTAAAGTTGGGGTTTTTTCCCAGGTCTCAAACAATATTGAAGCTCTTTGGCATCCGATATTGCCCCAGCCATTCACTCTTATAATGAACTTCAGTTCCTACAAGCTTTGAATATCACACGCTGGAAGGAGGAGAAGGGGTAAGGCCAGGGAACAGCTTCTGCACTGGTTACCTGCTGTAAATCACCGGGAATTAGTTTCCAGCCAAGCAGAGAGCAGGGCTGCATGTCAGCCCCCTGATTTTGCCTCCTCAGTCGGGATCTCCTCTCTGCCAGTCTCTCCGAAACTGGGTCCCACCAAAGAGCGGAGCCAGGACAGGCTTTTCCCAGCTGCTGCCCTTAATTCCTCCCTCCCCCACAGGCGCTGACGTCAGATCACCAGGCCACAGCAATGCTGGCAAGGCGGGCAGGAGGGCCAGGAGGGAGGTCAAAGCCTGGGTGATGCCTTCACCCAGAGCAGAAGCCGTAACGTGCCAAGGAGCGGCACACATACGTTCAAGAAGCAGCAGCAGCCTCCCCCACGCCGCTCAACAGTCGCCTCCTGACCCAGGACGATCTGAGCAGACCAGGTCTCACTAGTGCCACAATTAAAAGTGTTAGTTTAAAAACCTAAACTCATCAGTCTGACATTTTAGCTCAGGTTAGTCCCACCTGCCACCAGCCAAAACCATCTCCGACAGCTTACCTGCAGAGCTGGAAACACAGCATGGCTCATCTTCAATTCAGCCTGGCATCTCAGCCCAAAACCACCTTTATTATAGCAGAGGGATGAGCCAAACATACTTGTGGCCACCATATGAAAAACAGTGAAACATAACTCAGGCTTTCAGGGATTTTGGCACAATTTGGTATCATAACACCACAAATTAATTTTATATTTTATTAGTTTCACAGCTAGTAGCTTAAATGTCAGCTTCAGAAGAACATAGACTAGGACTAAAAAAAGCCCTCCTTTTTTGAATAACTAGATACAGCATTTGATAACTAGATATGGCATTTAAAAAAAAAAGGTTTAAGACAGCTCACACCTCTAATTCTGAGGAATGAAACTACTTATCACATGTTAAAAACTAAGGCAAGATACTGTCAGGTAACACAGAGCACAGGCACCTGGGATCCCTACTTGATTAAATATTTCCCCTCCCCACCCACATCTCAACTACCACGGGAAATGCGATACCCGAGAACTTGTCCGTCATCCACTCCACATTCACACAAGCTTAACAGTACCACATCTATTCAATCTAAAATTCTGCAGCTGCAGTAACGAAGCATAACACGAAAACATGACAAAAAGCTGTTATTTTCCCCCGTTTGCCCCATACATACGTTTAAGCCCAGTGATGACCTACAGAAGCACGCAGAGGCTCACAAAATACAGGCACACCTACCAGAGCTTTTCTGAAGGAATCCGGGTTGACAGCTTGGACTGTAAAACAGCCATTTACCCAGCACCACGGCTCTGCCATCCTCTCGGTCTCCTTGAAAGTAAGTTCTCCAGCAGGATTTCCCTGCTCCTACTCTTCCAACACTGCTGTGCCTCATCGCTCCACATCAAGACGCACCCAGACACTGCACGCTTTGAGGGATCGGTACATTGCTGGCTACTACATAATTTGAACGTGCGGCCAGCCCCTAGTTCAGCCAGGCTCAGCTAAAGCTCAAGATGCAAACCTCACAACAGAAACAACATTCCCAGGTCTTCTTTCCAAATCGGATGCCACCCAAATGCCACCCCAGCTGGGGGGCAGGAAGAAGTAAAGGAGGGGTGCGACGCAGCTTGCTCTGCCCCCCCCCCCCCCCCCCCCGGCCCCCACCCCCTGCAAGCAGCTGTAGGAAATACTACCACGATCAAAGCCAACTGCACAGCAGCATGAAGACAAGGAGCAGGTCTGGCAGGGCCAGTGTACCAGCAGCCACAACACGTCCCCAAGACAACAACTCGGGAGCCCAGCTAGGACGAGCTGCGTTTGTACAGAAAGATGTGACCTTTACCGGGTTCACTGCCATCCTACATACACAGTGTTTACTACAGCCTGTGACTCCTGGCTCTGCATCTCACCTGGACGGTGGCGGCGATGCACACCTGTCCCCACAGCCCAGGACGGTTCCTCCGTGCTGGAGGGGCGCGGGGAGCAGAGCAGAGCTGCTCCTCCACCTGGGAGGAAGGGACGGGGACAGCCGGACACCCCCAGCGCCCACGGGGACGATCTCCCGTTTCCCGCAAAGGGATGAAGAAGGCCCAGAAAGACCGAGCCACCGGCCGAGCTCCCCGGTGGCTCCTCCCGCAGTCCCCCCGGT